AAGCCTAAACCCTAAACTCTAAACCCTTATCCCTAAACCCTAAACCCCCTAAAACGTGCTGCATGGGAAGGTTCCTTCTTCGACTGAAGGTCGAAGGTGTGAAGCTTGTTTGCGGCTGTGGCAGACAGCTGTGTGGAGCACTTTCCTCAATGGGAACCTATGCCTCTACTACACACATATGATACGACCCAACCCCAATTATGTCGAAAATAGCGTTGCCCCGACTCACTCTTGGTGGGGAAGCTGGGGGAGAGGGGGGGGGGGGGGTTGTTAACGACACCCGAGAAGTGAGAAACCACTGGGCGTAACACGAACGGATTAAGACTTACAACCTAAACCCCGAAGTCCTAAACTTGTAAACTTGCACCATGACCCTTAGGCTCAAAATAGCGCCGAAAACCTTCAAAAAGAAGGCCTTTTGGGGCCCAAAAACCTTAAAACAAGAGTCCCTAGAGCCTTAGGGTTAGGCCGGGCCACCCATCTGCAGAATCTCCCACATGCGGCTCTGTTCGTCCAGGTCGACCAACGTTGGATCGCTCCAGAAGACCCTTTGCCGACGTGCGTACTGCACTTGGAGGTCCATGAGTAGTTATGAGTAGGGTTAGTAAGGTAGCCTATGTTATAACCTCAACCAAGGTACTTCTAACTTGTAACCCTACTTATAACTACCCATGTAGGGGTCTAGGATGTAAGGGGTGTCGGGTTTACAGGGTTTGGAGCCTAGACCGCCATCGCGGGCCAAGTAGCATCTCCCCGTTGGCCCATCAACCCTGGAGCAGCCTCTATAGGCCCCCAAGTACTGAAACCTCAAGAAACTCTGACGCCTTGGGATGCTCCCCCATATGTGAGCAGTCCTTAGTAGGGATTGTAGTATCCCACTATGATAATCCCTATCAAGGACTGCTAGAATAAGGGGGAACATCCCAACCGACGCCACTCCCCACATTCCACTTGGGTCAGGAAACGCTTCACGTCGCAGGCGGAGCTCCTTCCTAGGCAGGCAGGTCTGGCTTATAAAGGCCGGCGGACTCTTTATCTGTTACCCTTATACCTTACTATAGCCCTTAGATAAACTAAGAAGAACCCCCTAGAAAACAAAAACCCTACTTAAAGAGACCACCAAGCAATATAAGGTCTGAACTACAAGCTCACTGCAACAAAAGTGCCCCTAAACCCTAAACCCTAAACCCTAAACCCTAAACCCTAAACCCTATATGAAGCACGTGCTGACTGGCCCGTACCCAGCACAGGAAGAAGGTGACGGAAGCTAGAGTGACGACCCGAACATCCCCCCCCCCCACCCCACCCCGAATGGAATTCGAGAAGGTTCGGTGCAGTCGTGAAGACAACTACAGTGCTCTCACAAAGCGAGCCATGTGCCACATACATAAAGGCGCCACAAGAACCAGAAGAACCCCAAGAACCCCTTGGAGGTTACTTACATCTGGACTTATACCCATATTAGGGCACTTAAGGGGCTTATATGTGGGTTAGAAAAGTACAGTTATAATTGGTTCAGTGCCATGAACCCCAGCACCAATACCAGACCGGGGAGTAACCTAGGAATATGAAGGGTGCCCTTTTTGGTTTTACGGGGATTATAAGGGAACCCCAACCGTAACACAAAGATGCAAAAGCCTACTCCCGGTCCTAGAAAACCCCTGAAAGGGTGGATGGTTGATTTCGGCCAGCGGCTGCATGTCCAGCTCCTTCTCCCAAGCAACGCCTTGCTTCACACGGTGACGGCCGACATGGTGGCTGTCAAGGTGTGTATATGCTCATTATATACATATGTATATATATATATATATACACACACGTACATGTATGTATATATATATATATATCTTTCTATACATACATACATACGATTATGTACATAGATAGCCCTATATCTACACATATACATATACAAATATATTTTTCTCTACATATATATATATATGTATGTATATACGTAGCGGCTTCGAAAAAAGGGCTATAGAGGCCGAGAAGATTAGCAAAGCTTTGGACTAAGGGCTGGGGATGTGGGAGACCTTATAGGGATAGAAGGAAGGACCCCTAGAAGGGGCCGTTACTCCTATTTCCCTATATATACCAAAGAGCAGTGCAAAGTCCTTAAGCAGCCCCTACATTACCCCTAAGGTCCCTTGTAAGGGTCCCCCCTTGGAGGTTCATGGTACTTATTAACGAAATATAACTGTACTTGTCACCCACTTATAAGCCCCTTAAGTGCCCTAATATGGTTATAAGTATAGTTATGAATACAGTTATGGGTGGTTAGTAAGTACCATGAACCTCCAAGCCCCTTTGGTCCCTTAAGGGTTCTTGCAGCCCGGGAAGAGTTGAGCTCCTACAGGTCAGAGTCGTGGATTGGAGCTGAGAGGTTCTGACCTTAGGATTTAGGGCTTTTGGTTTAGGGTTTCGGGTTTAGGGTGGGTGAAAAAGGGGCCTCAAGAAGTAGAATAGGGTTTTGGGGGGGACGATTATTGTAAAACTATATAGGGGCCAAGCGGAATGCTATTCGTAACTATATCCCCTAGAAGAAGTGGGTTGAGAATCACAAATTGCGCCGCATAAGCCTTGAGTTTCGTTTGTGCCCCAGAGTCGCTGTACCTCAAATCCGCCGACCCCCTTTGTCGGCGTCAAGAAGCTGGACTCGTACCTTTCCCGCTGGACCCGCTAGTGCCCTTCCCCATGGACCCGCGCGGCTTGCTTCCTAGCTGGATGGAACCACGCGTATTGTAACCCACCTCCATACTCCAACGTTTTGTGACCCATTTCCCTACCTGCCCCCGCCGCCCTTGCCCTTCTCTTCGCGGCCCCTTCCCCCCCCCGCCCTAGCCAAAACAACCGAATTTGTTGTTTTGGGAGAAGGACCAAAAACAACCGAATTCGGCCAAGCAAATGGAACCACGCGTTTTGTGTTGGCTGCACCCTACCCCCCCCCCCCCCTACCCAGAACCCATGCAGAGACCCCTGGCAGAAGGAATGGCCAAGGCTATCAATCATACTTCATCCGCAGCGCTTACCTCGGGGGTCGGCGGCAGCGGCATCCGCCTTTGGGTGGGGTAGAATCCCCTTAAAGGGACCCCCCCAAAAGGAAAACCCCCAGATCTGCTTCCGAAGCGGCCAGCTCTCCATTCCTCAAGCTCTTTGGGGGAAAGGCTGTCCTGCCATCAAAGGTCAAACGCACCTTCCCAGCTTTTCACTTGCGACTCCCCTAAATCCTAAACACTGCATTGATTCCAGTCAAACTTGGGCATGACATAGTTCGGGTGGAATGCCGATTCCAGTTACAGCAGATACCGCCTTTTTGCTGAGGACCCAAAATCGAGGACAACGTTGGCAGCTTTAGAGCCTCAAGCCTTCAGACCCCTTGAACCATCCCAAACCCCTTCAAAAACCCAGACTACACCCCGCTCATGACAAGCCCGCCCTCAAAAGACCCAACCCCTTAAGCCCCAAACACTCGAACCCTAAATACTCCAACCTGAAGACCAAAACATGCGTTGATCCTACAGAACCGTTCCATACCGTTCCCACTTCCCGCAGCTCTTCCCTGCAGGGCGTCCTTCTCATACCGATAGATCTTGGGCAGCGCGTCGAAGTTTTTCGCGAAGAGCGAAGGCGTGTAAATGGAAGGGGCAGCCATGGTCTGGCAGATGGGGGTTCAGGGTTTGAGGGCTTAGGGCTTAGGGTTCCTGGGGGGCGTATTTGTCTTGTTGGGGGGCAGGGGAAGGGAGGGGTGGGGAGGGGTGGGTACACCTTTCACCCTACATCCGACATCCTGCATCCTGAGCCCTAAGCCAAAGACGACAAAACCAGACCCCTTATGAAAGCCTCTACCCCATAATATTAATATTAAAACCCTCGGGGATTTCAGTGTTTTTTTAATACGGGGGGGAGGGGGGGAGTTTAATATTTGTTGGGGGGAACGGATTAGTTTAATGCTTATCATAGTTGGATTCAGGCTTCTGGGCTCTTGGACTCCTGACTCCCTACACATGGAGGCTTCAGGATTGACTCTGTGCATATTTGAGCGTTTAGGGTTTAGGGTTCAGGGTTTAGGGTTTGGGGTTTAGGGTGTAGGGTTTCGGGTTTAGGGCTTAGGCTCTCTCTGTTGCTGGTTTGTTCTTTGCCATGGCAACAGAAGGAGAGACCATGCGTCTATCCAATTGACTGAATCTCCGTCTTCGGTGCGGGGTAGCCAGCTCTTTCTCATGCAGCCATTTGCTATGATACAGTGTGCTCTAAACCCTAAACCCTAAACCCTACACCCTAAACCCAAAACCCAAACCCCAAACCCCAAACCCTAAACCCTAAACCCTCAACCCTAAACCAAACCCTAAACGCTAAACCCATGCCGGTCCTGCCTGCGTAGTCCCAGTGGTTCGAGGCGAGTGTTGAAACCAGCAGCAGCCGATGCGGCTTGTGGAAGCAAGTGCAACAAACAGACAAAACGCAAACCTGAGAACCAATTAGCCGAAGCTTTAGGACTTTAGGAGATTGATAGCATTCCATCTGCCACATGCTGCGCATCGCCATGCTGCTGCTACGGGGATCCCAGCTCGAGCCCATCATTGAAGTCACCAGATTGAAAAAAGCAGCATGCAAGCTCTCCAGGGTTGAATTTTTGCCTAAATGGGCGTTTACGAATAGGGGGGGGGGTACCCTTCTTGGGAAGTGCCCTAAAATGTGTCTCGCTCCATGAGACCTTTCGAGACAACGGTTGTTGGTTGCAATATCAACCTCGCAGAAGCAAGCAGAGGCCCAGTGCGAACTCCCCAAACCCGAAATTCCTGAAGCGCTAAAACTAAAACCCTGAATCCCTGAACCCCAAAACTGCCTTAAAAACTCTAGAAACCCTTAATCCCTAAAACCCTCTAGAAACCCTTAATCCCCAAAACCCTTACTCCCTAAAAGCCAGAAATCACTGAACCCCTATAAACCAACCCTCCCGATACCTATACTTCCCTTAGAACCTTGAGCGCAGGAGCCTGAGGCATTCCAGCAGCGGCCGATGTGGAAGTTCTGACCTGCCCCCCACCCCTCGGTTTATGGCTTTCGGGGGGTTTAGGGTTTAGGGTTTCGGGGTTTTAAGGTTCAGGGTTGTAAGGTTTCAGGCTTTAGGGTTTCAGGGCCCAAAAGGGTAATCCCAAATCCCGCCAACTAGTCGAAATCGTGAGCTTGTGAGTTCAGGAAAGTTTGGCTTCTTCACGATGCTCTCTCACCACACATAGGGTCACCAAGCCTCCCCTCAAACCCTCAAAGGGGCACCCCCTTGCAGGGAAGACCAAAACTACGGGAACATTTGGGAATGGAACTCAAAGATGCGAAATGCTCAGGAAAAAGCTCCATGCTAAACCACTAAGCCCTAAGCCCTAAACACCCTAACACACACTGAACCCTCTAAATCACTAAACCCTGAACGCCCTAAACCCTAACTCTGTAAACCACAACGCCCTAAACCCCTAAACCCTGAAACTCCTAAAGCTCCCCCATCTCGCGGCCCGGCCCCTGAAACAGGCGCTTCACCTCATGCTCAACGAGTTTTAGGGTTTAGGTTGGGGGACTTTGGGGTTGAGGTGGGCTCAGTGTTTAGGGGATAGGCATCCTTAAGTAGATAGAATATTTGAAAACCCGAAAAAGACTTTTCTAAAACGATAGATAGAATCTCAAAACCCCCAAAACGTTAGATAGAATCTTGGCCTAAAATTTAGGGACAAGGGGCGCGCCGGGGCCACTATATTCTATCTATGGGTTCCCTTTTTTATGACAGTTTCGGGGATTTGGGATTTGGGGGTTTAGGGTGTCGGGTCTAGGGTTCTAAGCTATATAATGCAAGGCTCCAAATAGACAAAGTAGGCATCACTTGAAGACGCCTCTCTTGAGGCTTACATGCCTGAGAACCCTGGCCTAAAGCGCACGGGGTTGGGGTTAACCAGATTCTATCTATGAGTTCCCAGGGGAGCTGGGGGTGCTCTCTTTGGGGGAGGGCGCAAGAGAAGTTATTGGCCTGAGAACCCTTCCTCTCCTCTCCTCTCCCCTCCACTCCCCTCCGCTCCTGTCCTCTCCCCTCCCCTCCCCTCCTCTCCCCTCCCCTCTCCTCTTCCTCCTCCTCTCTATTGGTTTTGAGGCTCTTTGAGATATTCTATCTATGGGTTTCAGTATTCTATCTATGGGTTCCTTCAACAACGTGGGAAAAAGCCCAAAACCTCCCCCCCCCAAAAAAAAAAAAAAAACAATAATACCCCCCCCCCCCCCCCGAAAACCATATTCTATCTATTCAAGGATGACTACAGTGTTTAGGCTTAGGGTTTCAGGTTTCAGGGTTTCGGGTTTAGGGTTTGGTAGGTTTGGAGTTGGGGGGGGTTTGGGGTTTTCGGTTTGGGCCTTAGGGAGGAGCCTCAGGGGTGCAACACACGGCGTGGTGGGATATCTTGGATAAGGGTCCGAAAGTAGGAAACTTCAAAACCCAAAACCCTAAACCCTAACCCCAAACCCCTCCCCCCCGCCGCCCCCCCCAGGATGGGCCGCTGACATGTGGATTCTGCAGCAGCTCTGATACCTCCGAGCGCAGCGAGGAGCCACATGTCATGGTGTAGTGTTTAGGGTTTAGGGTTTAGGGTTTAGGGTTCAGGGTTCAGGGTTCAGGGCTGCTGGTCGAGGGCTCCTTCTTGAAAGAACGCCTCATGTCATGTTTCTTTGGCTTGCAAGCAGCGCACGTTGAAATCAAAACACAAATGTAGGCCCGCCTGAACCCTAAACCCTGAATCCTAAACCCTCAAGCCTCAAGGCGAATGGACTTGCTTAGATAGGTGATGCAAGATTTCGTCCACCAAATGTGTGGATGCTAAATCCGATTTGGCCCAAGTTCCCACTGGTGGTCGCTGGGATGGGAGGGCTTGAGGTTTAGGCTTTTTAGGGTTTAAGGGTTTCGTATTTTAGGCAACTGCGGAACATCGGGGTAGCAAGAACCCTAATTAAACCCCAAACCCTAAACCCTAAGTCATTCTTTCCGGACCTTGAAGTGCAGGGATGGCACTGCGCTCTGCACCGCAACACCCTAGAGGAGTCAGTAAGCATACGCCCAAAACCCACAACCTCAAACCATCAACCCTGCGTTCGGCTGACCTCCAGACAGGACAGCGGCGGTAGGCGCGAGGCGTATGACTGGCACAGTGGCTGGGAGTATGATCTTAAAAGGTTTTGGGCTTCGGGGTTCGGGAAAAAGATAATATATTTCAAGAATTTAATTTCTGTTTGCCTTGGGGGTCTGGTCGGCGTAGTTGACAGTGGGACCTGTGAGTAAGAAAATCCCGACAGAACTTTGGCGGGTTTAGGGAAAGGGGGCATTAATTTTGAGAGCCCTGCGTATGGTCCATGCTCGCCGCAACACTTCAGGACATCGGCTTGCAGTTCGAGCAGTTGGGTTTGGGGCCCAAGTTTGGGGTATGCGGATTAAGAGTTAGGAGGTGGGGTCTAGAGGGATTTGGCATTGGGAGGCTCGGAAATTCAGTACGTAAAAGCTAATTGACAAAATGCGCCATTGGGGTTTTAAGTTTAGGTCAGGTCCTTCTTTAGATACCCCAGATAGCCTTAAACTGGCTCTTCGTAGGGCAAGCGGGAAGTCAGGCTCAACATATATATATATATATATAGCATACATATATATATAATATGTATACATATACATATACTACCATGTATATATATATATATAGACATGCATATCTCTTAAAAAAAGGCTGACATCTGGGGGTATGCGTATGCAGAAATTAGGGTGCCTGGAGCTGCGACCGTATCCCCGCCTCCACGAAGGTCTGCAACCGCTCGGAAGCCTCGACGCGCCTCTTAGGGGCTCAGGGCTTCTAGGGTGGTTTCGAGTTTCTTAGGGAGGTTGCAGGGTTTCACTTCTCCCAGCTCCGAAATCGCAATGCACCACATCCTCAGTCCAAAGCAATGACCTCCGAGACTTGAGGGCATTGAGGGCATCAGGCAACCATGACTTGAGCCTCCCTGAAGCCGCGACATCATCTTGAGAGGTTCATGAGGGATTCCGGCCAGAGGGCCTACTGGTAGGTGAGAACAGAATCACGAAAGTGCTACCAAGAGCTGGCTGCACTTCATGGCTCATGGGCAAGCTCCGCAGCAGCAGCAGTCCTAAGACTTCATGTGATTGCAGCACGCCGTCTCAGAACGAGAAGTGCAGCACTTGCTACACCACTTCACCCTGCTCTAAATACCTAGTATCCAAAGCCCAAGATGTTTTTAATCCCGCGCCCCAAAAACTCAGAGGTTATCTACTCCAACCCTATACTTCGGGTACGTATAACCCTACCCGAAACCCGATATCCTAAACCCTGAACCCAAACTCCTAAACCCTACACCCACTGATAGCTACCCATGAACCTTCAAGGCCCTTCCCGCTGCGGCCTCACCACGATCTGATTGTGGCGGAGCTTGGTTTCAAGAGCCCTGCATGCACGAAGGGCTTGTAGGGTTTGTATGGGTTGCGACAGGGTTCAGGGTTTAGGATTCATTCTTATTATATATGTATATATATGTATGCAACTACATATATATGCATACAAACATATGTATACAATGTCTTTCGGCAAACGGCTAAAGCCCTGCCGACCCTTCTTGAGCCGAAGGCTGGCTAGGACTGCCCTTCGTTCAGCCGACTCCTTCAACACACGGACCTAGGGTTTAGGGTTTAGGGTTTATCCGTTTCCCAATTCTTACACGACTGGGGGCATGTGGGGGGGGGGGGGGAGGCTGTTTGGAACTGGGGCCTCTTATACTACCGCAAACCCTAAATACAACCCCCCAAAGAATACCCTAAACACCAAAAAAAGGTGAAGCCTAAACTTAAAAAAAGGGGCCCAACTGGGGAATTCAAACCAACCTGCCGTCCCGAAAGCCTCGTTGGGTCCTTGCCCAGCATCCGCACCAGAGCATGCGGAGTGCCGAAGGTTGCCTTTATGGAGGTTCATTGGTAGATACAAGTAGGGTTCGAAGGAAGATCACCTATCTTTTAACCTTGTTTAGGGCACTTATAACCTTACTTATAGCTAATTACCCATGAACCTCATGTTGGTTTGGGGACCTACGGAAGCTTGTTGCCTACCGCCTGCCTTGCTTCTGAAAAGTAAACAAACAGGTTCCTTGCTGCCGAGTTGTTAGCGGTTCTGCTCCAATTGATCTTAGGCCCCCTAAACCGGCCGGGTATGTGTTTTGACCCCAAATGCACCCAACTAGCTTGCATTGAATTCATGTCCAGCAACGGACTAGCTATCGCTTTGCATGTTACTCCCTGATCCACACACTCACAGTAGCAGCATTTCCCCTCACGCACAACCCTCAACATTTAACCCTCACCCTGAAGCAGCCGCACAGCATAGGCTCGCAGGGGAATGAGGGCCTCTTTTGGGGTTTAGGGTTCAGGATCCCAATATCATCCCCCGAAGGGCACCGATGTATTTTACCCACTTCGCTCATTCCCCTCTGAGCACTTTCATGGCGCGACAATCACAAAACGAGGAGCCCCTTCTCAGAATGACAGGTAGGTGCAACTTTAGAGTATTCAAGCCTTGCCCGAAACTCGAACCCCCAAGCCAGAAAGCTTCCAGGCCCGCTACGCCATGCCTGCAGTACTATAAACCTCTACAGCCCCAAACCCTCAACCCCAGACCAAGCCTCGTGAAGTTGTGGAAAGCGGCGGATGATGCTGATGACGGCGACCCAGCCGCCTTTGAAGGTTTAGGGTGAGGCTTTAAATGCAGGGCTTATAGGAATTTAGGGTTTGCAGTCTTCGTAGGGTTCAGGCTTATAGGGGTCCACCAATCTTTTTGGTTGAAGATGAAGGGTCCACGAGGGGGCGCTCTAGAGTACAGGGTTTAGGGGTCTCCGTATGTCGGGTGCTTAGATCAGCAGGGTGCTTGACGTCTGTGCTTGCCTCAAAAGTTTGGGGGATGGAGCACTACCCTTAGCACCCTCGCAACGAAGGCACGGAGTGCACCTACTTACTACTTACTTTTGGGTAGTTTTCCCGATCAGCTCGCAGGGAAGCGCCAATGAATCAAAGCGTGTCAAAGAGTCAACCCGGATTCCAGGACACTGTTGCGGCTTCCTGAAGGCCGATAGGCCCCAATGGAAGCCCTCGAGGCTCAAGGGGTCGAGGGATTTAGGGGCCCTAAACCCTAAACCCTAAACCCTGAACCCTAAACCCTAAACCCTAAACCCTAAACCCTAAACCCAAAGGTCGTATCTACTCCTCTCAACCTCGAAATCTCCGGATGAAAGCCAGGCCTTCCCAGACCCTCAGCTCATACTTCTCAGCAGCGGCCAAGGCCTTCGGGGCACTTGCTTTAAGTGTATCGAGGTTGCCCCTCTTAAACCCCCTGAGCCGTTGGGGCCGCTGCGAGGCGAGGTCGCAGGGTTCAGGGCTCATCGGGTTTCAGGGGCTTGTATTTTAGGGCTGATAATGCGAGGCTCGGGGAGGTCCAGGGGCTTATGATTTAGGGTCTAGGGGGTTCAGAGGGCTTCCGGGTTCAGAGCGGTCCTGGCCTGCTGTTTCCGGATGTTTGGGTTTTGTTGGTTTCAGGGCTATTTAATTTACATTAATATCTATGTATACATATGTATGTAAATATAACCTTATAAAACCTAAACCTCTCAAAACCCTCGCCCTACCCTAACTAACCCGCCCGTAAGCCCTAGGGTTTGCGGGGCCTTTCCTCCCGCGCCGATGAAGGGCGTAATCATTGATTCAGCTTCAGAAGCCACGCGAGGTTGCAAAGTTGCCGAAAGCACGCCAGGCATCACACACACATATACATACATACAAATATATATATATATATATATATATATAGAGATATGTATATTAAATAATTAACTAACGTTTTTATTAATTAATATACACATTACACACATACATACATACATACATACATACATACATACCTACCTACATACATACATACATACATACATAGATACATAGATACATACACACACATACACACTTACATACATGCAAACATACATACAAACACACATACACACACATACATACAAGCATACATACATACAAACATACAAACATACAACCATACAAACAAACATACATACATACATACATACATACATACATACATACATACATACATACATACATACATACATACATACACACACACATCCATAAACACATATTTGTTGCCGACCCTTTTCCACAGGTTCCCAACCTCAGCGAACGATAAAAGCTGTGCCTGCTGGAGGAAGCTGCTGATCCAGCGGCATTTGGGCACGTCGTTCTTCCACCGATCACGCACATACCTGCACCAGCCCCCTCACGCCCTAAACGGTTTGTGGACCCATGGCTTCAAGGCCTAAACCCTAAACCCTACACCCTAAACCCTAGACCCTAGACCCTAAACCCTAACCCTTAATCCTAAACCCTAAACCCTAAACCCAAAACCCTAAACCCAATCCTGAACCCCAGGGCCTCGCCATGCCATAGGGGCTCGGCTCAGGAACTTCTGCCGGAGCTACCGCACCGCAGTCGGGTGGGACTCCTGGTTTCGGGATCTGCCCTCCCTCCCTCCCTGCGTGCCTGGGTTTCAAGGTGTTTAGAGTTTAGGGTGTAGGGTTTGGGGTTTAGGGTTTAGGGTTTGGGGTTTAGGGTTTGGGGTTTAGGCTTGCAGGCTCAGGGTTGGGATTCCAGTCTACCTCTTGGGGGTTGGTCGACAGGACCGAGGCCCCGGCCAAGTGCTGCAGTGAGCTCTGCAGGGAGAAGGCCCTTCTTCATCAAGGCCTGTGAGGGGTTCAGGGTTCAGGAATTTAGGGTTTAGGGTTAAGGGTGTAGGGTGAACCCCCAGAACTAAGGCCTATAGTGCATGGTTGGGACTAGTAAACATTTGAATGTCTATTCCTTATTGAGTTTAAGTACCCTGAAAAATGGTTAAATGTTACCCCTCTATGACAGAGAAGGCTATTTAGGGATGATTCAGCCGAATTAAGATTATTTGAGGGGGGAATTTTGGGGGGTTGTATAGAGGGGGGTCGTAGGGGACACCCATGAAGGGCTCAGGGTTCATCAATTTAGGGGTTTAGGGTTCAGGGTTAGTGGGGCCCGGAGGCTTAAGGGCCCAATAGGGACAAGATTCCTGGACGAAGGCACAACATGCGCACGCAAGACACTGCACGTCTTCAGCCTGAACACATCTAAGCCCGATTAGATAACCTTAGCCTCTGCAGCCCGTCCTAGGCAGATGGTGGTTGATCCAAATCGCAAAGGCCCCCAACCTTCTGCACCGCACAGCCAATGGACAAGAAGCTCATTGCCGGATGAAGCGGCTGATCCTGCGGAGGGTTTCGAGGGTTGAGGATGCTTTTCTTAGACATGTCTAAAAAAATTGTATCCAGTTGCAACAGTCAGCTGAAGCTGCAGAGGGATTTGGAGGGTTGAGGATGGCTGTAAGGCTGCATACTGCAAAACATGCGGCTGTTGAAGATTCCTGACAGCGCGTTCTTCACCCGTGGACACTGCAAGGAGCTGCAGTTGAACTCCCAAGCTACTCCAAATCTCCCAGACCCACCCTGAACCCCAAGAGCAACCTAGGAATCAAAAACGATTCTAAGGGAACCTAAACCTTAAGAAAAGGGAAAGACGTGCCTACTCTGGGTCCTCGACCCTGAACCCCATAGCCCACCTGACCTCCAGAAGCAAACAAACCCTGGAATCCAGGATGGCCGGTTTAGGGTTTAGGGTTTAGGGTTTAGGGTTTAGGGTTTAGGGTTTAGGGTTTAGGGCTCTCTTAAAGCCCAACCAGGGGAAGACGATCCCAAGGGCCAACCCAGTAAAGCTCATGGAAGCCAAGGGACCCTCCACCCCCAACTCTCAAGGCCCACCTCCTCCGGGCAAACGGGCCCTGGGAGTTGAACCAGCATTCAAACCCAAGCTTTGCAGAGGGTCGAAGACGGTGTCGGGATTGGGCTACACACGGTTTGTTTACAGGTTCCGAACGGTTGCTTTGGAAGGGCCGAAGAAAAGGCTTCAGCAAGGCGGGGATAAAGGTTCTGAAAGGGTTGAAACACCATAGGGCTGAAAGGGTTTGTAGGGCTTTGCGAATGGGGCTGCAGCACAGGTTTACAGATGGGGTACTTCAACCGGTATTTTAAAAACGAGGGGCTGTAGAGGATGAAAACAAAAATGGAGCACTCGAAGGGTTTGAAAAGAACGTCCTTGAAAGGGGTTGGGTCTTGGGGCTTAGTTCTTCTTCGGGGTGAACCTCTCAGCTGGGGGCACGGTGCTTCGAGGGATTTTTGATGAGTGGCAGAGAGGTCAAGCCCCGCACCCTAAATCCGTTCGAGGCTCAGGGAAAAGATACACCCAAACCCTCCACCCTAAAGCCTAGACACCTAGCCCTACACCCTCAACCCTGAACCCTGAACCCAAACCCTAAGCCCTAAACCCTACATCCATGAAAGGGTTCACCCTGGGGAGGCTGCCTGCTTCGGTCAGCGAGCTGCTGCTGGAGACCTGAGAATGAAAGGCCCAGGACTTATCTAAATTGAAGAACGGGTCAGCTCTAAACCCTAAACCCTAAACCCTATACCCCAAACCCTTAACCCCCAAAAAGAAGTCCATCTTGGGGGCGTTATCGTGTCAGGAGTATGCCCGGCGCATGGAACTACGGTGCCTCGTAAGTGGCATTTGTGGCGCGCTACGGCAGCTGCCTTAAAGCTGTGCCGAAGTTTCAGAAATTATTGGCATTGGGTATTTAATAGTTGTTCATATGGAATGCAGAAATTATTAGGCACAAATATCCCCTGACGAAGGCTCTCGAGGTGAAGCTAATTCTCAAATTCCACTCCACATGAAGCACCCCAGTTATCATCCCCTCAAAGCGCTGTGCGGCAAGCCTCCAGCTGCGAGAGTGCGTGGCGCAGGTCATCCGGGAGCGGATATACCTTGAAGGTTCGTGGGTAGAAGTAGGGATCTAAGCACCCTAAGGTTTAAATAGAGGCTACCTTGCTCAGAGCCCTACTTATCACTGCCCATGAACCTTCAAGCGGACACGGACACATCCTGGAAAAGATGGCAGCATACACACAACACCGCTCTGCTTGAAAAGCAGGGGTAGACCCTCCGTGCTGAAACGAATGCCCATTCCGTTCGGACGTTGCTCGTGTCCTCACATGGAGTAGCCTGGAAGAAGTCTTAGCTTGACTGGAGAGGGCTGGAGCCAACAGCTTTTTGAGCAGCTCAAGCACGGCAACGTCAAGACTGAGGATTATTTTAGTTTCGAGTCCACCCCTGTCTAAACTGGAGTATATACACGGTCCCTGTTTGGAGTACGGGAGAGGGGATTCAGCACAAGAGAATCTCCCGGACGCTGGGGTCCCACGCCATGACAGCAGGGTAGGTGGTGTCCGCCCACCTGCTGTGGGAGTGTGTGGGTCGCTGGTTCTAAAATAAGCGTTGTCGTCGTAGCAGTATAGCCGAAGTCGTGACCGTAGTCGTAGTCGTAGTCGTAGGCATAGTCGTAGTCGTCGTGGTAGTAGCAGTAGCAGCAAGAATGCCGCGAGTGGTGGCCATAGAAACAGCAGAAGCACAAGCATGTGGCGTCGTAATTAGCACCCTCAACTAAAGCCTTTAACCAATTAAAACTGTAAACCTAAACCCTTAAACCCCGAAACCCTTAAGCCCCTCAAACCCCCTTTCTGGACAGGTCCAGGCCACCACCAGGGGTCCGAGAGAGCTGTGGCCAGGCCATGAAAGAAGGGCCGGCCACCGAACCATTGCTCGCTCCTCTTAGCAGGCTTTTAGGGGTTTAAGAGGTTTAAGGGGTTTCGGGCTTAGGGTGTTTTAAGGATTTAAGGGCTTAAGGCTTAACCCCTGAAACCCTTAAGCCCCTTAAACCCCTATATCCTGCTGAAGGGTTCATAGGGCTTTGGGGTTGAGGGTTCAAGGGTTGCAAGGTTCTAAGCTTTAAGGGTTCAAGGTTTTGAGGGTAAACTAAGGGAAGGGTGTAGGGTAGAGGGGCTTTGGCTGCAGGTGAGCTCCATGAAAGCTGAACCAGTGTGGAAAAAGGGCCCTTCCGTCATACTCTCACAATCAGCACATTGATCCTGAACTGTCGGACTACTCGAAACACTAAACCCCATAACCCGCAACCCTAAACAACCTGGTTCTTATGAAGTTCTAGGTTGATTGGAATCAGCCAGATGCCAACTTCAGCCCCTCAGCTTCTCATCATCGAAGGAATTGGGACCATACACGGCACCTTGACCCTGTCCTGCACTCTCCAGGGCTTGTGCTGTCACCCAGTGCCGGGCGACCCCAAGCCATCTGCAGAAGGCCCCGCCTGGTAGAGGTGAAACCCAATAAGGCGCAACCATGACATCCCAAGGACCAGAAACATCTAGAAAAGATTCAAGTCAGGTCCGGGTCAGTGTTGTCAAGCCAAGAACCAAATAGAATGGCACATCCTTGAGGAGGCAGAAGGCTGAAGGTCTCACGACAGACACAAAGGTCCCTTGAATGCCAGAAGTCGTGGGACCGGAGAAAACGAGTGAGTTGTTTACTGCGATCGACTGCCAAAAAAATGTTCATGAGCATTCCCCCGTTGCAGAATCCAATGAGGGGGCGTGGTCAAAAACGCAGGATGCACTTTTGGGGGGTCTGGACACAAGGGCCGTGCAGTGCAAGGGGTACTTGATGGGTCATGGGTAGGTTTAAGTAAGGCTACAAGTGAGAAGTACCTGAATTAAGGTTCTAATAGAGGTTACCATCACGTATACCCCTACTGACATCTACCCATGAACCTTCAGGCACTGGGGGGAGCGGGGGAGGGGGTACACCGAGGCCGGCCTTTGGCCTTCCACTTTTAAGCAACGACCAACGAGCCATGCAAGGGGCGTCTTCGATCTCAGGAGCGGACTCGCTACCCAGCGCCGATCCAGCAGCCTGCAGAGTGATGAACCGTCGGAGGGATGCTAAGGTAAGGCCTTCGGAGTTGCTGCTACGTGCGCCTCAGATGCTCTTCTGTTTAGGCAAGCTGTGTCCAGAAGTATGTGAGGCACATCTTCCGAACAAGGCTCAGGTCGAGTAAGGTCGTCAGAAGGTGTAACTATACTGGCAAGCTCAAGAGCCCGGTGCTTTCTGCAATTCCCAAGGCGGGAAAGCCTTGGCCCGCAAACCCTGATGTCTTTCCATTCTCTACTACGATATTCTTATGCAAGATATTGCTCTCTTTTCCACTTCATTACTAGAATGACTACAAGCATATTGCAAACCAGTAAATCTTTCTACTGTCTACAAAACTACGATGCATAGGCTCCGAGGTGCTCATCGCCTTGACGAGCAGCAGCGTGAAGTGTTCACAGCTGGCCTGACACCGCTCTTCGCCAGGCAAGAAACACGACCTACTATTGGGTTTAGGGTTTAGGGTCTAGGGTTTAGGGTATAGGGTATAGGGTTTAGGGTTTAGGGTTGAGGGCCTTTTGCAACGGTCTGTTGAATTCGCCAGGTTGTGCCTAACGGAAGCAAGCGATGCTACTAGCGGTACAGGCAGCGGCCGCACGCATAGGGCTGGCTTGGGGAGTAGGGCGCTGGGTCAGGCGAATAGTGTCTGGGATTCAGGGCTTCCAAGCACTAGCACAAAGTGTGTCCCACACTCGCCAAGTTCAGTCGCCTTGGTGCACCACACTTGCGACCCAGATCACCAAGCACACTGCAACACACCCTGAGGCTTACATTGAAGTTGGCAGTCGGGCCGCCAGAATATCGAACACGCCGCATGAGATACCGTTTCAAAACTGACTTGCCAGTTGTCTCGGTCAATGGCGCACTTCACAAAGCAATAAAGCCCAAACCCAGCCCGCGACTCAGGTACTGCTGGACTGTAGGCTCCTCCAGAAGCTATCTGTGAACCATAAGTAGAGGAGCACAAAGACAGTGAGGCACCATAAGCTGTGCCATCAGGAGCAGGCTTTGTGATGAAGGATGCTCATGAAACGTGGAAAAAAACGTCGCGTGGGACATCGTATACATGGCCCCGCGGCCATGACACCCTCGACGCAGCACTCTCCAACCCTAAACCCTAAAGCCCAGCACTCTCCAACCCTAAACCCTAAAGCCCAGCACTCTCCAACCCTAAACCCTAGAGCCGACCCCCAAACCCTAACAAGCCCAGCAAGTTCGCCAGCTCTAAAGTTCGGCCTCTCCACCCCACGTCTCGGTGCAGCGTCGCTCCAACCCCGCCAGTGCCAACACCTCTGTAGCTCCCGTCTCATATCGGGGCCTATTCCATTGAGAATCTGCTTACATTGAAAGTAGTGCTGTCAACAATATATACATATATATATATATGTATACATGTGGATGATAAGAGGACGGGGACCGAACTGTGCGCGTGCGTCCGTGCTCATGACGTGTCTCTACAATAGGATCTGGGATGCGGCTTAGATGCTTTTCGAGAGAATCACATGGCAGCTCTGGGCTGCGCTGTAGACCCTAAAAGCAAACCCTGAAGCAAAACCTGAATCGCCCCCCCCCCCCCCCCCAAACCCTAAACCCTAAACCTGAATCGCCCCCCGCCCCCCCCGCCCCCCTCCTCCATGAGGCCGCTTTCGCACCTAGCAGCGGCCGAGGAGCGCCTGGGGCAGGTCTCATTGTCTTTCAGGGGACTATGAAGGGTTTCTGACGGCTTCACGGATTATTTAGCATCTTATTTGAAGGGTTCAACAAGTGTGAATTCTTTAGGTCTTTTAAGATTTGTTTAAGCTTCCACGGTGTTTAGAAAGGTAGTCATTGCTGAGTTCGGCCGAGTAGTGTGACCGTAACTAGCAAGCTTATAACGATTCAGTCCATCTTTCTTGATTAGGTCTGAATTACAGATGACCATGAACTTGTTACCATGAAGTATTTTCGTGGTGGCCATGAA